TATACATTGCATGGGCCTGGACAAGATTAGATTGCATTTTCCTTCCCTATAAATTTAGAAGTATTTACCTCAGATAAAATTTAAAGGAAGCGCAATTCATTACTGAAGAGGAAAATCTTAAATATACAGGCAATCCTATTGTTTAATATATTTTAAAAAAACAGCATTTCAAGAAGAGAGTGATTTGGGGACTTGGACTGTGATGCTAAGGCACAGACAGGTTTCCTGTGACTGTCTGTGGATCCACTTTGCATTTTCTGCTGGAAATAGGTAGGGAAATAATGTGTGCTGACAGCAGGATTGGGGCGGTTCTGGTAGCTGGAGTGCTGGCATCCCACTTAGAGGTGAGAAAAGCAAACCCATACTAAGGGAAATTCAGCACATCTCAGCATCCTGTCAGTGGTTTGTGGATGAGCGGGAGTGTGAGGATTCTGAGTCTGGAGTCCCACATGCTTCTGCTCCTTCCTGCTGCCTGATAACAAAGGACACAGATGCAGTCCCGAAGAGAAGGGCAGAGACAGTGGTCACCTGAGAAAAAGGAGAAAAATTGTCCTGGGAGAATTGAGATCAAAATAAGATCAAGCATGAATTGTAAGGAAGGAGTACCTTTTCTTCTGAGTTAAAGACAAGATAAGATAGAGATCTGTCAGTTGCCTACAGAACTATAAATTAAAATCATTAACACACTGATTTGATGTCTGCTTTATAAATATTCAGAGTTGTGGGATGTGAAGACTTCTGTGACTCAGCACTCAGTACTGAAGAAAACTAACCGAGTCATTGTAGGGAAAACGAATTAATATTCCTATTATTATTTTGAAGGAAAATAACCAAAAAAAAAAAAAATGGAAAGAGAGGACCAGCACTTCTTATTTGGGCTCTTTGAAAGCTGTCCATTGGGATGAATATTTTTACAAAACACTTCTATTATCAGTCCTTGGCAGAGTATCATTTGGAAAGAGGGACAGAAGTTAGGGTTTGGTGTTGCCTGGTACAGGTGGGTCTCAGGCTCATGGCAGGAGTTTGTGGGTGGAGTTAGGGTACCTCCCTCCTGCAGTGATCAGGGGCCACCTACAAAAGGATGTGAATAACATCAACTGATGGAGGCTTTATGTTTGTATACAAATTAAATGAACCATCAAACACTTACCTATCTTCTATACTGTGTTATGCTAAGCAAGCCCTCAGTGGATGTTGTAATTCCCAAAAGTTTTGGGTTTTGCTGTTGTTTTGTTTTGTTTTTAGTCTTTTTGAAAATAACCTAAGTGTAATTCCTGCATCAATTGCCACCACCCACATGGTGGCAGCAAAAACACCGCCAGGGCCTTTACCTAAAGGCCATTACCTGGGACCTGTAGCCCCAGGATGGTGAGACTGGATGTGGAAATGCCGATCTACTCTTCCCTTGGATGGGTGAATTTCTGACACTCCAACAGTTTGATCTGTTTTCACCAAGAATTAAAGTGAAGAAAACTAGACTAGCCTCAACTCAGAATGTAACCTGGGCCAGCCCCAAAGCTCCTTCATGATTTGCATTTATTATCACATTTAATCCTTTTAACACTTAATGATGTAAACCCTAAAACCTCACCCACAAAAAGGAATTGAATTTATTCGGGTTAGTGTGCTCACCGTCCACTCTAATACATGTTATATGTAAGAGAATGTCTAGCTTAGGCTTGTACTGGTGAGATGCCAGGAGCAGGTGTCTTCATCCCTGAGTCTTATGTGTCTTTAAGGCTGATTCCCCCCCCCCGCTTTTCCCCTCCCTCCTTGCCTGCCTGCCTGCCTGCCTTCCTTCCTTCCTTCCTGCTTCTTTTTCTTCCTCTCTCTCTCCATTCCTTCTTTCATTTTTATTTTTGGCTGTGACTTTATCAGAAAGTTTTTTTTTTTAACTGTATATCCTTTTATTGGTACATTTTAGGTATACAATATAATGACATTCATCATTGGAAATTTGCACCTTTACATAATCTCTCTTGGTTCTTATTTTTCCCCTTCCCCTGCCCTCCCTTCAACCCCTCCATCCCTCCCTATGTACAAAGATTTTGTTTCCTTTTTTTCATTTTTTCATATTAATTCCATTCCCTTCTTTCCTTTCCCCTACCCCTCCCACCTCCCCTTCCCCTTTGCCCCTTTTGTTCTTATTTCACATTACCTGTTATACCTTTTAGTCCTTATTTACACTTTCAGTTTCTCACACTAGAGAAACTATACGGTATTTACACATGTGTGTCGTGTTTATTTCACTTAAGAGTATCACCTCAATGTGCATCCATTTAGCAATAAAAGTCTCTAATTTCTCTTGTGTGGCTGAGTAGTACTCCATTTTATTTTTTAAAAATCCCACATTTTCTTTATCTAGTCTCCAGTTCATGGGGATTTGGGGTGTTTCCAAGTTTTAGCTATTACAAACTGTGCTGCAATGACCATGGGTGCACATATATCATTGTAGTAAAGTAGTTGGATACAAGGTCAACACACAAAAATCAATAGCTTTCCTCTACACGGACAGCAGACTCTCTGAGAGAGAAATAGGACAAACAATTCCTTTCACAGTAGCATCCAAAACACTGAAATACCTAGGAATCAACCTAGCCAAGGAAATCAAAGACATCTTCTCTGAAAATTACAGCACTCTGAAAAGAGAGATTGAAGAGAATATCAAAAAATGGAAAGATCCCTTGCTCCTGGGTGGAAAGAGTCAACATAGTGAAAATGGCCATACTTCCAAAACTGCTATATAGATTCAATGCAATCCCAATTGAAATCCCAGCAGCATACTTCATGGACCTTGAGAAAACAATCCAAAAATTCATTTGGAACAAGAAGAGAACCAGAATAGCAAAAGCAATTCTAGGTACCAGAGACATGGCAGGGGGTATCACAATGCCCAACTTGAAACTATACTACAAGGCTACTGTGATAAAGTCAGCATGGTACTGGGAAAGAAACAGACCTGCAGACCAGTGGAACAGATTAGAAGATGCAGACACAACTCCAGACACACTCAGCCACCTCATCTTTGACAAAGGAGCCAAACACCCTCACTGGAGGAAAGATAGCCTCTTTAGTAAATGGTGCTGGAGAAATTGGGTTTCAACTTGCCAAACTAAAACTAGACCTATATCTCTTACCATGCACGCAACTAAAATCAAAATGGATTAAAGATCTAAATATTAAAACAGAAATGCTGAACCAGCTGGAACAGAGGTTAGGTAGAACTCTTGAAGACACTGGTGTAGGAAAAGACTTTATGAACAAAAGCTCAGTAGCACGGGAACTAGCACAAACAATCAACAAGTGGGATCTTTTCTTACTAAAAAGCTTCTGTACAGCAAGAAAAACCACCAGCAGTGTGAAGAAACAACCCATAATGTGGGAAAAAATTTTCACCAGGGCTCCCTCAGACAAAGGTCTACTATCTCAAATCTATAAAGAAATTTAAAAAATCAGACCTCCCAAATTTAAAGACCCAATCCAAAAATGGGCATCTGAAATGAACAGACATTTCTCAGACAAAGAAGTAGAAATGGCAAATAAACATATGAAAAAATGTTCAACATCACTGGTCATTTGAGAGATGGAAATGAAAACAACACCAAGATTCTACCTCACCCCAGAAAGAATGGCTGCTATCAAGAAATCAACCAACAACAAATGCTGGTGGGGCTGTGCTGAAAGAGGAACCTTGCTCCACTGCTGGTGGGAGTGTAGACTGGTGTTGTGGAAATCAGTATGGAGATACCTCAAAGAACTAGGACTGGAAGTCCCATTTGACCCTGCTATCCCTCTGCTGGTATCTTCCCCAAATAATTAAAGGAAGTTTTTTTATTAGTGAGTTTTTGCAGGCTGCATCCGATTATAAGTAGCAGAGAAAGGGCTAGTGTCTGTTGAATTCTTATAAATGCTCTACTTGTGTTATATTGGTTAACCCACATATTTATTCCCCATAAGCTAATTTATTTAATGTGTACTTGTTGAACAGATTACCTGTGTCATGCAACCTGCTGGGCAGTGGAACCAAACCACCAGTAGAATACCTGCTTCTTAAATGCCCACTTTTCTGTGAAAGCTTCTGAACTTTGGAAATACACCATAAGCAGGTCCTACATTCCGCTACGGACAGGTCATGGGCAGACAGGTGCAGACTGCTGAGGAGGCAGCTGCGAGGGGCTTCTGTGAGGACCGAGGGGCTGCAGAGACTGGCATGGAGGCGAGGCTGGGATTCTTCAGCAGGCACAGGTGAACGCTCAGTGGAGCTTCGCCTCTATCATCTGGTGGTGGTTTCAGCAGCACCTGTGTTTCGGTCTCCTTTTGGGTTATGATGGATGTTATGTTTATCTACATCCTTATGCCTACTGCACTCCAGTGTGAGGAAACTCGGGCTTCTCATGACTGCCTTTAATCACGTGATTCTCAGGGCCAAACACAGTGACCAGCTCATAAAGGTCAGTGAACACTGTCTAGGTAGATTACCAGTTTATGTGTGTACTGTGGGCCTTGACTGTGTACTGATAAGTACAAAAAAAATAGACTTTCAAAAGAGGATGCTGTGGGTTTTGCTTTGTTTTTGGCTACAATCAATTAAAAATATGCCTGAAGATAATCTGACTACAAAAATTGATATGAGTTTCCGAAGTCAGTTCATGCAGTAAATCTGGTCTACAAATGTTAACATAAAGATACGTTAGCCAATTGGCTGTGATTAGTATTTGCCCCCAGTTTGCTTTCTTCAGAACATCTAACAGTTCTCTTGTGCTCTGGAACATGGCTTTCCTGCTTATCTGCTCCCAGTGCCAACATGGGTAATGCCTGCACCAGCTTCGCCTTGTCCTCCCACATGAAGACTTGGGCATGCTGAAAGGAATGCCTTTGGCATTGCCTATTTGACCTCCTCAGACACTGGCGCCAGGTACAGAGAGCAGAGAACTCTTGGTGTAAGGAGAAAATATGATGTTATCAGCATCATCACACACTCACACAGCTCTTCTTAAGACAGCATAGCAGCCTTTGTGACTGCATTTATCATCCTGTCTCTGGCCACTGTTCTTCCACAGGAGTCCAGAGGGACTCTCAGAAATGTTTGCAATCCCTAGGCCTTTAAGAGTTATTTGGGTCCTTTGTGACATCACATGCCCCTTGAAACTTGTTATTTCTGTAAAGGAAGCTTCCTAGCAGCTTCTCTTGGGGCAACCAGGAGGGCTGAAGCTACATCTCAGGTCTGGAGAGAAAGAAGCCCTGGGGGCGGGGATGGAACAGAGCACAATCACATGGTGCCCAGACTTGTGAGAAGGAATTTGTTTCTCTGTGCTTGCTCTTTACAACACAAACTGATAATGTAATGTATGAAATCCTAGCTTGCTAAACATATTTGGAATTATTTGGCAGATTTAAGTCTTCTGCTTAGTATGGCATTTCTGAAAAGAGGTAGCAAAATAACTTTCACTTAGTCCACTCTGCACCACCTCCCAAGTGTTGGAGCCCCTGAGGTTGATCATCCTGGGAAACTGGAGCACACAGTGCAAATACCTAGACCTCCTGACTGGGCTGCTGTGTGTAACAATAGCCAGTAGATACCCAGAGTGATGTTTCTGAGCAGAAGCCAGTATGCGGGCCGCACTAAACACATACAGGGTCACGTGACTCTCCTTTGGCATGTTGTCCACTGTAAGCATTTTTATTGGCAAGATGTCTAAATAACTGCCAGGGTGTAGGCTTGGGCATAAGATACATTACAGTGGGAGCTGCTCCTGCCATACTAAGCAAAGGTGGTATTTGGGGGGGTGGCTTGCCAATTTTAATGTTTTTGCATGTTTTAATGTTTTTTCACAACATTATGCATGCCAATATTGGTATTTTAGAAGTTAGCATTGTTATGGTATTATGGCTGTCTAGAACTATTACTTTTTTTAACCTTTGAGTTGAAACTGGAGCAGAAAAGATGAATCTTGTTTCCTTACTACTGAGTCACTGAGCTGTTGTCCATTTCATGATTAATTATGATAATCAATTTGGAAAATACAGGAAAGACATAAATATGATATAGGGCAAAGCCTTCTTTGGATCTCTTTATATGTAATGGCATATATATAGACTTTTATGCACATGTCCCCCTTTGTTTTACTTTTAAGGAATATAAATTCATTTCTATGGATAAGACATGTTGTCAGTCAAATGGAAAGCATTGTAATAGAGTCCGTATTTTACAAGGCTGCAGATAAATCTGTAGAAGTTATACAAAAGCCATATTTCCACCATGAAAAGTATGTAGACACATTTTTAAGTTATTATTTTTTATTTTAAAACTGATTTATAAAATATCTACCTAAAAGCAAGATTTATTAAAGTAAGGGATAGCAGAGAAAAGAGGCAACAAACTAGTAAACTCTAAATAATTCCTTTGTTTAGATCATTTGGGAAACTGATAATCCAAGGCAGAACCTTGCTACTTTGCTGGCTTGGAAATAGAGTGTGGAATTAAGGATGTGGTGGGAAAGGTTAAAGAACATGGAGGTTTTCTTTTTCTGTTTCTGGGAAATACTATTTCTTAATAATCAATGTTGCTCCGAGTGCGGTAACCAATCGCTTTGTCCCTGTGGGTAGAGTGAAGGAGAAGTGACATGATATTACTCAGGGGAGAAGTGTGCATGAGAATCTCTGAGAAGAGACACACGGCCAAGAACCAGACAGAACAAATTAGTGGTTTTATTATTTCATCATGGCATTGTCAAATCCGGGCTGAGGGCCTTTTGATGCCTTCCCACTGTGGAGACTTAGGGAAAATGAATTTCTAAACAGAATGCAAGAGAAATGCAAAACCAACTTCCTCAATCAGAAGCAGTATGAGAGCTTCACTGCCAGATGGAGGAGGCTGGGGGGAAAAGGAAAGCCTGGAGGGGAGAGAGGCAGAAGTGCTGGGCAGAGTTCAGACATGTCACGGGACAGATTTCACTGGCCGGGTTCGTGGAATCTCTGTCTGTTGTCACGGTTGGTCTCCCTTCCCCACCAGAGTTCCGAGGTTGAACCCCTGACTCCTGCTTCCTGGGAAGATGAGGATTTGGAAACAGAATGTAGAAGATTAAATCAAGTCTTTAAAGTTGGACCTCGCCCACCCAGCCTGCTGGCAGGTGGCCATGAGCCCAGAGGTGAGGGGCTGAGTGAGGCCACTGCAGAAGGCTGTCCTATGAAGGCCAGCAGAGAACCAAACTGTGGACAGCTGGATCTGGACCTGGTGGCCTGCAGAACCAGGAATGTACATTTCTGCATAGTAAGCGACCCAGTCCATGCTGTTTTGTTTTGGCTGCCTAGAAACTAATAAATTAATCTTCTGTGAAACAATTGCACTTGAGAGCAGTGAAACCTTAGAAGAATATGAAGTAGAATGATGGAACAAAAGAGGAGGCAGGGGCAGTAGTGCCTACCTCAGTATACAGCTATGTGGGAGGTGGAGGCAGGAGGATCCCTTGAGCCCAGAACTTCCAGGCTGGTTTGAGCGTCATAGGGAGACCCCATCTCAAAAAATGAAATAAACAAATGAAAGACAAAAGAAGAGGGAAACAATGACTGCAATGTCTATAAATGTACTAGAAATCTTTGAAGTATGTGTGAAAGGAGTGAAGATTATGGTATGTAAATGTACCTCAATTAAACCTGATTGGAAAAAGGGTAATTATAGCTAAGAATAAAGAGCTCATTTTATACAAAATTATATAAACATTAAAGGAATTTTAGTTATAATCATGCAAAAATCTGGAATTAACTTACAGGTTGACAAAATAAATTCTGATCAGTATTGTGGAGGGCAGTGTAAAGAGAGAAGCTGAAATGTGTGCTTTCTCTTGTCCTGAGATTAATGAGCAGGAGGCATCTGTAGATAATTTTCCATTATTGCTGTGGGCAGAGAGGCTCACCCTGTTTTTAATTTGTAATTAAAAATTGATTTGCCACTAGGAGAATAGGAGTAGGAGTCATACATTCAGATCCTCACGGAAAAAGGTAGGAAGTAAAACTCTAAATATGGCTGGATGAATACACTTATGAAAGAAATCAGTTTTAGATTGGGTCTACAAACAAAATCCAGTCGCTTTCCTTTTACAAGAGGCACAGCTAATGAAAAAGAACTTAGACTGAATTCTGATGCTGGGGCTATAGGTCTTTAGCATTTCAGAAAGGAAAATACGTTTAATTATCATGCTAATATAGTAGGTAATACAAAAGTATCCAGTGGTGCAGGAATTCTGCAAGAAAATAGGAAATTAAAATGGAAACATGGTATAAAATTTCGTGCTTAGAATAATACATTGTTAAGAAATATGTAGAAACTATACTAGAAATCAAAAAACTGACAAAACAGAAACAGCTGTAGTTAGGAATAATTTTTATACTTCTTACAGTATTTGACAGAATAAATCAAGTATGAAAACTGTTTAACAATACATATCTAACTATGCATTGTATATATGATTAAAGAACATATACTCTACCTGTAAAATTTCAATGCAATACCAAGTACACATTTTTGAAATTATCCCTAAAACATTCATCAAAACAAAATGAACAAAATTTCATTTTCTGTTAAAAGGCTACATAAAATATTTAGTCAAGTGTGGTAGTGCACACCTGTAATCTCAGCACTCTGGGAGGCTGAGGCAGGAGGATGACAAGTTGGTGCCCAGCCTGGGCCGCTTAGCAACTTAGGAGACCCTGTCTCAAAATAAAAAGCAAGGACTGAGAGTGCAGCTCAGTGCAGAGGCCCTGGGTTCAGCCACCAGTACCAAAAATAATTAAATACTTAGTAATCTCTTTGAGGTATTTATTACTCAGTTCAGATTGTTGTATCAAAATATGATTGAACTATGAATTAACAGCTAAAGCAAAACTAAATCATAAACACTTAGAAGTAAAAATAAATATAAATAAAAGGAAATACTGAACAAAACCATTCATCCAAGAGCAAAGTAAAACTGAAATGATTGGCTAGAAAATAGTTTCACATAAAACACTATGAAAAAATTATAATACAAGCACGATTTTTCTCAGAGGTAATTCAGTCAAAAATTATTAGTATTGAATAAGAATGGAAATAAAATATTAGAAATGCATCCAAGAAAACAAAGTAAGCTTAAATTAGAATAATGAATCTAAATGATAACTTAGAAAAATAACCACAAAATAGATTGACTCATGAACTGACACTTTGAAAGTATCTAGCTTTCCAAAAAAATGAAAAGCAGAAAAACATTAGCATTGATGAACTGGATGTTTTGACAAATAAATTTTGAGAACTGAAAACAGAAAGATAAGAAGGAAATTTGAAGCTGGGCACAGTGGCTCACAACTTTAATCCCAGTAGTAGAGAGGCTTATATACCAAGATCAGGAGTCCAAGGCCAGCCTGGGCTGCATAATGAGACTCTTGTCGCAAAAACAAAAGAAAACAACAAAAATGATACAACTTTTTGCATATACAGTTGAAAAACACTTGGCAAATTAAACAGGAGTCACTTTTTATGTTTTTAAAATGATGATAGTAAAATAAAAGTAAAATTTATTTTGGTAAAATATGTATAAATACTGTTTATGAATTGTTGATATAACTGCAAATTGTCATAGCCTTTTTGTAGGTTGCTCTTGTTTGTGAATGTCTTTTAATGTGAAAAATACATACACAATTGTAGAAACGGTAGATGAAAAAGGTTCATCACCAGCCTTTTTATGAATTAAAAATTTAGAAATTGCCAAGATTTTTCAGGAAGTTGATAAATTAACAAAAAACTATCATAGAAAATTATGAACCTATTAAAATAGTATAATATGTCAGTATTTATTAGAGGGAGATGATGCCAGTGTACTCATTTTTATTTTATTTTATTTTATTTTACTTTACTTTATTTTATTTTTTGTGTTGCTTAGGATCCAATCTAGGAGCACCTACATGAGGGGCAATGTTCAACTAGTGAGGTACATCCTCGTATGGGAAAATACATTTTTAAGTGTAAGTGGTAAACTACAAAATAGCTTACAGAAAAATTTGTGTAAACATTCAAGCAAACTTGTTACTGTGTTTATGATGTACCAGCTAACACCAGAACAGAATCTGACTTTTGTTATTTTAAGATTACTATAGATTTTTATATCCAACATTAATATATCATGAGTACTACATTTAATAATGTCATTAATATAAGACTGAGCAATCATCAGCCATTGAACTGTCCCATTGAAGTCTATGGACTCCAGTTTTCTCTGCCCGAGCTGTCTCCAGAGCCAAAATTACCACGCGTGGACATAAGAAATATTGAGAACCACTGTGCTTCTAGTTTTCTATATTGTTCAGTCTGTTCAGATATAAGATGTGTGGCGCTATGTGACCCGAATGCTCTTCCTTCACAGGCACTCTCCCTCCTAACTGTGGGATCTCCATCCTGCAGCTGCTTGAGCTCGGCACTTGAATTTTGTTCCTGACTCGTCTGTCCTTACCCTTACAGTGATTCTGCTTCTTTCATGTAGGAAATACCTTCTGTTTCTCATCTGTTCTGAGAAAGCACCCTCTTATCTGTGCTAACAGAACAGATAGGTCCCTCACTTCTAGCCTACCCCTTCATCTTTCAGGAATACAAATTCATCACAAATCATGCTTAGAACAGTTTTGGTGACTTTTTAATACACTAAGGAAATAATACCATATAAGGTGCTTTGCACGATCTGCCGGACTTTGTGGGCATGATTCTTCAGTCACGGTAACACGTATTCTCTCAATGGCATTTCAGAGCATTCACCTAAATCTTGCCTGGATATTCCTTCTAGTGTACTTATTTTACCTAAAAACAGCTTTTCCTTGAGTAAATAAGTTAAATGTGAGTTCTCCAAGGGAGTCTTCCTTAAATTATCTACATTATGGAGTACTTATCAAAAAACATAGAATAAATATTGATTGATAAGATGAAACTGAGGTCTCCAATACTTGAGCAAATTGGTGAAGAGAATAGATATGGTTTCCATGAGTTCTGGGCCCCAGTATTAGTCACCTTTGGCCAGGACCAAATACCTGACACCCGCGACTGAAAGGAGGAAATGATTTACTATGGATTTTGCAACATCAAGTGTTTGTAGAATCTGTTTAATTTTTTGTGTATTTTCCCATAGAAACATATTGATATATATTCCAGTAAATATATCTTTGTTACTTGGAATGTGATGACGTAGAATCAGTTTTTAATATTAATCTTTGAAACATAAATCAATTCAACCATTGATAATGGACACAATATTATTGCATGCCATGTATATGATATGTGCCTGCTCTGGGTAGTCTTTTCTTTTATCCTATTGTATATTAGAATCCCCTCCCAACTACTTATTTATTCTATGTACATTTTTAATTACACAACTTCAGTCCTTCAAATTCAAGGACAGAATTCATCCTGATTTATCATATTCAGATTTCTTCCTTATCATACTTTTTCTTCAAATATTCCTGATGATTATTCTAATGCATTGTTTCAGAGTTAGAAACAGTGCCACTGATGTTTACTTGAGAATAATTATGTTAATTATAGTTTTAAATGGAAAGTAATACCATAGTTACATGTAAAACTCTGGTTAGGTGCTTAGAGAAGCTGATTGTGTTTATGGACACCCAAAGTTTCTCACTGAAATATATGTGGCACTACCTAAGGGGACTCAGGGTTTGTACAATCGTGTGCTCAGTGAATACTAATCAACAGTCTTTCCAGCTACAAGATGCATGTGTAACCACCGCAAGACAGGAGACAGGAAGGTTATCATCGTTTTCCAGTTTGGCATTCTCTTTGCTTAGACCTGAACATTTGATAATCAGAAACCTCACTTTGCCTACTACTGTTCTAGAGAATTGTGGCAGATTAAACCTACTTGCTTGTGTCACTACTCTTTTTTCTATTGTTCACATAAATTTAGTGTAATCAGGAGAAAGTGAAGAGGTTCTACCGGAGAGAAAGTAGTACAGTTGCAAAGGCCTGCAGATCTAGTGGTTGTCATGTATTTTCTTCTATTTTTGGTAAGCTAAGTATGACCCTCTATGTAATATTTGAAAAAGCTTTAGGAAAGGCAGTTGTATTACACCTAGGAAAACTACACTAGAGATCATGCTTTACATACAACAAACTTAATGGAGAGGTCTGGAGTTCACCTTCCTTCTGTCTTATCATCTGAGGGTAAAATCATGTTAGGATCCATTGCAATGAACTAGGTCAAAAGAAATCCACCTACATATGTATTAAAGGTGCCAGAGTAATGCATGGAATAGAGTAGTTGCTCAGAAAAAATTAACTATAAAATGTACTTATTGCACAATCTGTGATCCAATTCTTCAGCTGAAAATAGAGCATTATATTTGCTATGCACAGGAAAGGATATTTAGCTGAGAAAGGCTTACTTCAGTAAACAGAAGAAAACCTAGACCTCACCCCCTTCACTGCTGTCAACTCTGGTTAGCCGCAAAGGTGAAGGCACCGGTAAGGTCTTGCTGAGCTCCTCCCGAGCCTAAGAGCATCTCCCTCTTACATAG